GAGATCCCCCCCATCCCCTGCCCTGAGCCCCCCTCCACCATGATTTTGCTGAGCAGCTTCTTGCACTTGCGGCCTCGGCGCTGCGGTCCCTTCGCAGGGCTGGGCAGGGGGCCCGGTCCCGCAGCGGGGTCCCGCAGGGCTCTGCGGGTGCTGGTGGACATGGACGGGGTGCTGGCCGACTTCGAGGGAGGCTTCCTCAAGAAGTTCAGGGCCAGGTACCCCGACAAGCCCTACATTGCCCTGGAGGACCGGAGGGGCTTCTGGGTGTCGGAGCAATACGGGCGCCTGGGACCTGAGCTGAGTGTGAGTCTGTGCATCCCCCGGCTCTACGCGTGGCTCTTGTTTGCGCCGTGCAGTTGGAGCTCCGGCCCCGCGGGACCCACTGGCCTCCAGTTCATGGGTGCAGCGCTGGGGAGGGCTGCGGGTGCTGGTTGGAGCTCCCACCGAAATACAGGTACAGGTCTGCACGCAGGAGGGCTTCCAGCCTCTTTTCCCAGAAATCCAGCGTTTTTCATGCACATCTGTCTCTTTTCCCTGCATGCATGGATGGAGTTAAAGGCAAGGAAAAGAGATCTTTGAACATCTGGTTGTTTTTAAATATCCTAAATTGCACAGCTGGGCTTTTCTAGCTCTGATTTGGCCAAGCTGCTTGGATTGATACTGTTCTTAGATAGATTATTTACTTCCGCAACAGCAATGTGAGGGGTGGGACGCAGCAGAGAAGTTGAGAGCAAACCATGCAATTGATGCTTCTTGTGAGGGCTTACTTAAAATTAAAACAACCCCAAGCCCTCCCATGCCTGAAAATTATTGTATTCATTTTAATAATTAAAGCCTAAAAGCAGAAGCTCTCTTTATGTTGCACTTCATCGTTCAACGAAGGGCTGAGTGCTGCAGAAAGTCGGTTTCTGCCTCTACAAGTTTTCCGTCTCAATGGGATGTCTGTGGTCTCATCTGCAGATTGCAGTTGCACAAGTGGAAAGGTGTTACAGCAAATAAAAATACTCTTGTCGTTAGTGGTATGGTGGCTACAAGGAAGGGAGCGTGAATAAGATCCGGGGCTTTCCTACTGGCAAAGTCCTAAACAGCTTATGAGCTGAAGGAATAATGCGTCCTCTCTAGCTGGGATTGATGAAAGAGAAATGGAGGACATCATTCATGCAGTAAAGCAGATGCTAAAATTTTGGCAGGGGTAATGCGTGATAACTCTGTTTTTTTTTTCTTGACCTTAACTACTTTGGATGTGTTAAATGAAGTGAGCTCATCTTGTGTCTGCTGTGATCACGTAAAACCACCAAAGCCTTGGGCTGAACAAGTAGTAAAACTTCCACAGACCGACCTCAGGGCAGCCCTGATTTCACCCGTGGTTTCAGACCAGGGATAAAGAGAGTAGAAGCCGCTCTGTGGCTACGGGCACATGGGTCGTTCCAGTCCCCCCTCGTCAGAGAGCACTGTTGACCTGCTGCAGTAGACCAGAAAATAGGAGCCAAAGAGTCCAACAAGCTGAAGGTCCCAGCTCTGAAAGGGAGAACAATAGCTCAGCAATATGCCGAGCACACAGACCTGGATGGGTGGCGAGCCCTGGACGGGCAGGGAAATTGCTCATGGGGAGAGATAAGAAGGAAATCGAGGGTCTGTCCTGCCTGGCACGTGGTGGGATTCCCAGCCTGGGGGATTTTTCCATCTGCTGGGCAGTGTGCTGGCTGCGGTGCCGCAGGGAGTTATTCTGGCTCTGGGAGCCAAGCAGGTCTTTTCTTCAAGATGAGCTTAGTTCTTCCCCCATCGAGCTTGATTGCAAAATGCTTTTTGACATAAGTGGAAGCAGAATAGCTGCGGAAGTCCTTGCTGTAAGAACACACTTCAGCGCAGTTTGAAGTGCTTTGCTGCATCAGGCCGCATTTCTCGCATGTCTCTTGTGCAACTACAGTCAGTATCTTAAAAATAAAACATCACGGCTTGCCAGTCTAAAGCAGAGCAACTGGAGTTTGAAGGTTTGCCTGGCCCCGTGGCAAACTGTTAGGGTAGCTGTTCTTGTCTTGGTGCCAGGAGGCATTTCTGCTGGCTGTCTTGCACCGAATCAGCATGTTTCATCTTGGACATGTATGAGGAAGGCTTTTCTTCCGTCTTCTGAACCACCGATGTTTTCTGCTGCTCAGGCAAAAGGGAAGAGTGCAACAGTTGATCTGAGTAGTCTCTCCTTTTAAGTTGGGTGTCTGGTCTTCTCATGTTACCTGGGATTTTTTGAGAAATACAGGGTTTGATTCTGGCATGTCATGTTAAATGCCCTGTGCCCAACTATATAACTGGTTCATGCATTCATTTTCCTGAGAGCAGGCAAGGTGTGCAGCCAGCGTCTTGGCAGCCAGCAGGATGAAGCATAATATGACTTCCTGAGTGAGCCCTGTGTTTGCTCTGGGGTGTTGCTGCCCTGAGCCTGGAGTTCCCAGCAAAGCCCCAGTTGCTCGTGGTTGCCTGCTTTCTTCCCCCAGTGCAGGTGTAGTAAAGGCAAAACACGATGGGACAGACTAGATTCACACTCATCAGACAAGACGGAGCTGCAAGTCTAGCTGTTGTGTCCAACCAGCCTATTTGTTGCTATGAGCTGTAAGAACCAGCACGGAGGCTGCTCTCTCCTACCCCGATGCTCTGCCAGCTCCTCCGTACCCTTGCAATACAAGAAGGCCAGGATGGGTTTAAAATTCCTTTTGTCCCTATTCCCCTGCCTCAAATACAGAAACAGTGCTGCTCAAAATCAAGATCAATCCTTCAAGGTAGGGCTCCCGTCAGAACTTCTCCCAGCCGCATCTGCAGCTGCTCAGCTGCATTGCAACGCCGGGACATGGCTGCTTCCTCTGCCCGCAGCCGCGTTGCAACACTCCCAGGCTCTCCTCCCCGAGGGCCCAGTGTCCGTGCAAAATAATTGCTTTGCTTGGCAGCTGACAAGCCGTTACCTGTCTGAGGGAGTGCAGGGGCTGCTGTTCCTTAGGGCTGTGCTGGAGCCATCACAGGCAGCCCCTGGACTCTGCCCTCGTCCCTGTGGTCTTTCTCTGCTCTGCTCTCCCTGTGTGCCATACCAGTGCGCTCCGGCTGCTGACCTGGATGTTAAGTGTTTCAAACCCTTGCCTGGAGATACTCTTTTTGCCTGATAGACCTTGCCCAGGCATCTCTGAGGAAGAGCATCTGCGTTCACCCTGACGTGTGGTTCATTCTATAATATACTTTCTCCTCTGAGAGCAGCCTGGCTGCTATTTTAAGTGATCTGATTCAGACAAATAGGCCAGACAGCATCTGTGGCTGAACAGCATCACTTTACAGCAGGGCTACCAGGCCACGTCAGCTGGATCCACATGGAAGTGCCCCTCTGGACGCGGACCTGGGGTTTGGTTCGGTTCTGGACAATCTCTTGTGTTTTGCCTTGAAGGAACGTGCTGCTCCCTCTGTGTTTGGGGCTGCACAGGCAAAACGAAGCCTGCTCCAGAGCATCTGCGATCTAAATTTTATGGGATGGGTGCAGGTTAGCAGGTGGGGAACAGAGGCACCCACAGATGCAAGGCAGGTTAGCAGGAGGGGACCGGAGCCAGGGCTCCCACCTTTCTCACTGTCACCATCCTCTGTCCTAGCAAAGGGTGGGGAAGATGCACATGCAAGGAGAAGAGTAGCAAGAAGCCCTGTGCAGTGACTGCTCTCTTTCCCCTCACAGGAGAAAGCCATCAGCATCTGGGAATCCAAGAATTTCTTCATCGAGCTGGACCCGCTCCCCGGGGCTGTGGAAGCTGTGAAGCAAATGGCAAATTTGGCAGAGTGAGTAGGAACCTGCCCATGGTATTGGGGAATGGATGGGAGAGCAGCAGTGGCTTTGCAGGCTCATCCTCCTCTTGGCAGAAGCGCTGAATGCTTCATCAGTGTTAAAAATGCCTACCAGCCCACCGGGCATGGGAGGAAAGAGAGGGCTTTGAGTTCTGGAGCAGTCACCAAGAAAATCAGCCATGTGCAGCCCCTTCCCTTCAGCTCTCTTTTCCCAGCAAGGGTGGCAAAAAGGGGAACATGCCTCTGCCACCGGTGTGGGTACACATCCTGGGGGTGGGATCCTGCGAGTTGTGGGATTAACATCTCAAATTACCCTGGTTTGATCTGTGTGTGGTGGGGTGTCTGCTTTGGGTGCCTGCCTGCCTAGGCACTGAGTGGGGTCTTGCAGAGGCAGATGTGCATTTCAAGGGGGAGCGGGGTCTGATCAGCGTGTTTGGCCATGGAGTGATACTCTGTCCCCGTTTCTGTCCTTGTGGCAGCACTGACGTGTTCATCTGCACAAGCCCAATCAAGAACTACCGCTACTGCCCTTACGAGAAGGTGAGCAGGTCCGAATCCCAGCTCCCCCTCCCATATCGTACTGCCCGGCAAAAGCCAGCTGACCCCTGCATGCCTCCGGCTGTCTGGCTGTAAAACGGCAGTGATATTTCCCTGCTCCACCAGTTCTGTTCCTGAGCATCTTCGCAGGGCGGCAGCTCTGCTGTCGGCCAAGCTCTGCCATTTGCATGCACTGAGGCGCTTGGTCTTAATATTTCATCACGATGTCAAAAGCTGCTTGGCTTTAAAAGAAGTTGCACTCTAGCAGCATCCAAATCCTTCCCACTAATGAACTTATTAAATGAGATGTCCTCCCTGTGTGGAGGTCAGGGCTCGTGCCCGGCTCTGCTGCCGCTCTTGCCCTGTCCATCAGCCTTCCCATGTCCGTGCTCACCGCTCGCTCCTCGCCTTCCAGTACGCCTGGGTGGAGAAGCACTTCGGCCCCGAGTTTCTCGAGCAGATCGTTTTGACGCGAGATAAGACGGTGGTTTCTGCTGACCTGCTTATAGACGACAGACCTGATATAACAGGTAAGGGAGGTGCAGGGTGGCAGGAGTGACCAGAGGCAGCACCAAGGGGCAGATGGCATTGGGGGGTGATGGGTGCTGATTAGGCTCTCGTTAGGGGTTTGTGTCCACAGGCTCCTCATGTTGGAGTAAGGTCAACCTCTGTGTGTCGTGGAGGAGTTGTCCAGAGAGCCGACCTCTCTCCTTGCTTTGCAGGGGCTGAGCTGAACCCCAGCTGGGAGCACGTGCTCTTCACAGCCTGCCACAACAAGCACCTGCAGCTGAAGCCCCCCAGCCGCAGGCTGCAGTCCTGGACTGATGACTGGAAGGCCATTCTGGACAGCAAACGCCTGCCGCCCGGCCAGGCCACCTAAACCTGCGGCCACCCAGGGCTGGGGCCATCCTTGTGTCCCTGCGGAGTCCTGCTG